ATGTTAACTTTTTGACCCACTGCATAGCTGAATATCATCAGTATAGAATTTCTTTTCTATACTAATGAATATAATATAATATAATATAATATAGAATTATATAATATAGAATTCAACGTTATTGTCATTGCACTGTCACATGTACAAAGCAACGAAATATAGTTTGCATCTATCCAGAAGTGCTATACAGGATATAAATATTTATAAACAGTTACAAGATATAAATATGAAGAATGGATAGTACATATATATATATATATATATATATATATATATATATATATATATATATATATAAGTTGTTTTATAACTTATACATAGGATAAATAACAGTTTATATATATATATATATATATATTAGTATATATGGGCCTCTTCCACACATATATGGTAAAAAGACTTCGTCCAATTTAAATTTTTACCTCAGAGGCGTCAGATTTAGTATGCTGGTAGTTGGTGATTCACTGGACATGTTTTTGAGATTAATTTGAAATAATTACGGTAATCACATACATTGCACTCAAAACTCTGCTGTGCCTGGAATCTCTCTAAATTTGTCTCTTGGATATAATTTAGTCAAATAAAGCCAGAGTGACCCGAGACATTTTGTGAGTTCTCGACACGATGGAACAAATGCTTCATTCACCAAAAACAAAATAAAACAAAGACGCTCAACTGCTACCAGCACACAGGTGGAACGACCACCCTGGGAACCTTCTGGGAAGGTTTTCTGACCAGAGGAAAAACCGTCATCATCGTCATCATCCCCCTCTGCTTGCCAGGCTACTGTGTGACTGACTGCAGTGGAGGGAATTGAAGGTCAGGGTGCTGCTTGATCTCAGCCGCCATTCGCTTGGCAAGATCGTCTGACTCACTGCCCAGAGCTTTTCGTGGGTGTCCATGGAACTGGGGGCTGGTAAATAGTTGTGTAATTTCAAACTTCCATAATAAAAACAGATCCAGGCCGCAACTTTTAATGAAATAGCTGAGGAAACCATTGAGACAGCAGAACTGGAGTGGAGAGACTGCTATTTGTTGCCAAGGCGTTGTCAACACCAGACAGTCTGGTGTGTTTGCGGCTCTGTTTTACAAGGTTTCTTTGCTCCAGCATTGGCGGAAGTGTCTCCCCTTGCTGAGCGTACCAGGTGCTGGAGCGTCATGTGGGAAGTGCACTAGTCTGTTTCATGACTTGTTATGGATGTGATGCCAGGGGGAGAGTCGGACCCCGGGGGTACACCCCTCAAAGGACACACAGACGGATTGGGGCGTGTCGTTAACTCAGATCCACTTTTAAAACTGAGGCCAGAGATTTTTTGAAACTATGAGTAATTTCTTCCCACAGAGTATCCAATATATATATTTTTAGTTAGTTAGACTGGGTTTTAATTTTTTTTATTTTTTTTAGATTTTCAAGCATAAATAGCACTGTATAAACAACTTACCATTCTTCAGATGTTAACTTTCTGTCTAAGACAAAAAAAAACAACAAAAACAAAAAAACAAGAAAACATCAAATGTGGAGATGATTTTTTTTGTGACACTTTTAGACATAAGCTAGTGTCTGGTATCAGTTGGACAAAGGGAAAGCCCCTGAATTTTTACGTGTTCGTTCACCTTCTTATGCAAACAAAGAGGAGTGCTACTTGGTTCTTTTTTTAAAGTGAGACTGTTTTAAAATCAAATCTAGCAACAAACTATGGCAATCACCATTTCTGTCCATTGTCCATCACAGATGCATCTAAACAGGATGTACAACAAGAACCTTGCAATGTAATTCATTCAGTAAATGTGGCCAAATGACATCCAAGAGGAGCACAGTGATGGCTGCTGAGGGGTTTGAAAGGCTGCAACATCCGCAATGTTGCCTTCAACTATGCAGATAGTGAAGACCGCTAGAGATGCCTTTGGAATCCAACAGGCAATCAGAAACCTTAATGAGGCTTTAAAGAATTACCTAAGACCCTATGAAGTGCCAATGAAGATTAAAGCAGGTCCTGGGAAGGCAGCCAGATGGTAAAAAAAAAAAAAATCCTTTGGCCTCCCACTCCTCAGATGAATCACAGGAATATAAATACAACCAAAGAAAAAAGTAAAAGCCACTGATATTAAGACGAGAAAACTTCTCACAATGCATGCAGGGTATTCATCTAAAGTCCGGGATTGTTCACTTATGGTTGTGCTTCACTCGAACCTCACAGTGTGGCTTGACTCGGTTCAGCTTTACTCAACAGAGTTTGAGTACTTTTCCTTCACAATAGCTCTTAGAGTTGGGCGGCCCCAGAGTCTGAAAAGTAGCATGACAAGATCTGTACAACACAACCCAACAATGGAGGAAGCTATGTTGAACATCCTGGTCAGTCTGTGGTGTTTTTGAGAATTACTGGCTGTTATGAGTTTTATAAATTTGTGGGTTGAACTTTTGTAAAGGTGTCACTCTCATAATGCAACCAGTGACTGCACGACCTAGACAATTGGTGACTAACAATCTTCTGACTTCTTGTTTTTGTCCCAAACAATCAGGCTTGAAGCCCAAGCAAAGTAGGTTCTACAACTGACGCCGACATTTGTAGGCGTCTAATTGAATTGTGATCTAATTGTCCACAATTCAATTAGACCTTTCAAATGAACCGGACTTCTTAGGCAAACTAACCGAGTTTGATTAAAGCAAACTTAATAAGGGTGCTGAGAAATCATCTTTAATTGACAAATGAATGTGGTAAATAAGACTCTCAGTACATAACTACATAAAACTACATAAAACTTCAAATTTATATTGAATTCATGACCAGTGACATGGTCACAGTGAATGGTAGCAGCTGAGCGGCTAATATCATGAAATGATGTTTCTGTTCAGGTCACTTTGAGTTAAAGTACTGGTCTGTTAAGAATGATGAAGGTTTTTTAGTCTCTTCTCTTACTCGGCAACATGGGATCAGAATATCTGACTTAAGATGATTAAATCAAGCCAACTTCTAAATCCAAGTGTTGGGGTTTAAGAAATACCCCAGCCGTTTTTTTTAATGCACTTTGACATCTGTTTGTGCTGAAATCCATAACTACAAGACAATGATGAGAGATCCCCAAGGCTCAGTGAAAGTTTTTAAATGGACAGCTGTGTTTTGAGTTCTCGAGCTTCAGTGGTTTAGTCAAACTGACAGGAAACATGAATGTGTCTGCACCGTTCAGAAATGTCCCCAACTCTCCCACCAGAGCAGCGTGGACTCCAGTCTTCAAATAAACCATCTTCTCAGTCAGCAGTGGTTTGTGTCTGCTGTTGCTGTCCTGTGCAGCCAATCAGATCAGTCTGCTAAAGCAGGTTTTTGCTTTCCTAGAGATGCAGTATGTGGAACAGTATCACCCGCAGGCAACAGATGGCTATCTCTGGTGTCATTATTTTGGGTGATGTATCACATTTTTCTAGGCAACTGTCTTACTGTTGTTGCTCTGGAGCAGTTTGCTGAAACAGAATTCGATTCATGGACTTATTACGACTTGATTGAACTGGAATTCTACAAAAAAAATAAAAAGCAAAGGTTTTTAAATTTCTTGACCTCTTCTACATTTTGTGTTGTTACAAGACGTAACAACACAAATTGTCAGGTTGCGTTTCTCATTTTATATATAGATTGATAACGTAAGAATATTTTACTTTTTTTTAATATTTTAATCTTTTACTGTAGACAAATAAAATGAATATATTTGATTTTATAGATAGATTTGATCAACTAGAGCAACACAAAGTAGAGCATAAGTTTGGGGAAGAATGACATTTTTATCTTTACCAAATAGAGACTTAGACTTGACTTTATTGATCCCTTGGGAAGACTCCCTCAGGAAATTATAGTTACCAGCAGCTCACAGGCAAAAATGTGGCACACAGTAAGCAAATATGTGGAAAGCTGTGTTTTATTTTAGCTTGAAATAAAAAGTTTAGCTATTTTCCCCTCAGAGTACAACTAATTAGTAAGTAGTCTGTCTGTATCATTTAATTGCAGTAAAAATACAAGTGTTTTGTGAAGCTCTCAAATGACAAATGGCTATCAAATATCACTGGTGACATTGTTATATAAAACTAAAAAAAAGAGAATGCATCTCCAACTTAAAATTACTTTTTTTTTTTCAAATAATTGAATGATGTTTAGCAAACTTACTTTATTTATTTTCCTTAACTTGACAGTATAAATTCTCTTGGATAAACCTAATTTGATGACTTGTGACCAATTAACAACCAATATATTCAAGTCGGATCACCTGTTTTCTTTTTGCAGTGTAAACAAATCTGTGTGTTAGTCATGCACTCTATAACTCTTACCTTTGTGGGACAGTTAAAAAAGTCCTTGAAGGCTCTTACTGGATAAAACCTGTAAGAAGTCCTATTTGCCACAAGCCAGATGTGTAGTTAGAACAAAATAAACAGTTTGGCTTTTCTGTGAAACATTATTTCTTGTGAATCATTGGCGGTGTGCAATTCTGCATATTTTATTATGAATTGTGATTGTTTAAGTCTCACCAAACTCCTGACCTATTTACATTTCTCTGGTTTCCCTTTTGAATTATTTTGTTAAAAACCTTGTTAAAAACATGAGCCAAAGTTTATGTCTCTAAAATACACTAATAACATGCTCATATGATAAGCAGAAACAATAGAGTCACAACACAAATGCATGTGCATTTTTTTTCAAAGTGGAAAAAACTATAAGAGCAAATCGAAGTGAAATATTTTTAAGAGTTGACAAACTACAGTAGAGAAACAAAAAATCAAGAGGGAGTCAGAAACCTAAGTGTTGATCTAATACTGTTACTGATTTGGACTCGACATATTGAACTGATCCACCAACCTCTGCTTTTCATTTCCTAACAGCAGGTCAAGCTGTTAACTGAATCGGGAATGAAAAGGCATTCACCTTTTTGGACATATAAACCCTGAAGGCTTACATTGACCTGTAACTTCTTATAATCACATCCCTCAGTTTTCTGTCTCTGCTCTCTGTGTGTTTCAGGTGGTCAGAGCTCGACTGGAGGAGAAGGGCGTGGCGGTGCGTGATGTGAAGCTGAACGGCTCTGCAGCCAGCCACGTTCTTCACCAGGACAACGGCCTCGGCTACAAAGACCTGGACCTAATATTTGGCCTCCGTCTTTCCGACAATAAAACATTTCGCCTGGTGAAGGACGTGGTGCTGGACTGCCTGGTGGATTTCCTGCCTGAAGGCGTGTGCAGGGAGAGAATCACGGCCCTGGCACTGAAGGAGGCGTACGTGCAAAAACTCGTGAAAGTTTGCAACGACACAGACCGCTGGAGCCTCATCTCGCTGTCCAACAACACTGGCAAGAACGTGGAGCTAAAGTTCGTCGATTCTCTGAGGAGGCAGTTTGAGTTCAGCGTGGATTCCTTTCAGATCTCGCTGGATTCGTTGCTGCTCTTTGACCGTTGCTCGGAGACGGCGATGTCCGAGACCTTCCACCCGAGCGTGCAGGGTGAGAGCATGTACGGAGACTTTGAGGAAGCCCTGGAACACCTCCGCTCCAGGACTATCGCCACCCGAAGCCCCGAAGAGATCCGGGGCGGCGGCCTGCTCAAGTACTGCCACCTGCTGGTGCGCAGCTTCCGTCCGTCTTCGGAGAGCCACATGAAGCAGATGCAGCGCTACATGTGCTCGCGCTTCTTCATCGACTTTCCCGACATATGCGAGCAGCAGCGGAAGCTAGAGGCGTATCTCCAAAACCACTTCGTGGGAATTGAGCACAAGCGCTACGAGTACCTTCTGACGCTGAGGCAGGTGGTGGACGAAAGCACTGTGTGTCTGATGGGCCACGAGCGGCGCCAGACGCTGGCTCTAATATCCGCCCTGGCGCTTCGTGTCATGGCCGAACACAACGCCATCCCTGCCCTGTCCAACATCACCTGCTACTACCAGCCTGCTCCCTACGTCAGAGACGTCAACTTCAGCAACTACTACGTGGCACAGGTTCAGTCCATGTCCGTTCGCAGTAACTCTTACCAGACATGGCTGCCTTGCAGCTGAGGACCGTCATTAGGAATATGTGAACATCTTTTTGTTTGACCTTTAACTTGTTATAAGGTGGGCATGTTTTATTGTTTTGTTTTCTCCGCTGCCTCCTTATCTGGTGTCGGTGTTGCATTCTGGCTCTGGTTCTGCTGGATCAACTAGGATTCTGGATAGAACAGCTTACAGACCCAGTGGATGTAAAATATCACCAACTCGTACTAATACTGATGAGTCAGGCTGAGGTTCTTACAGTAAAACATGTGGCGTAATATCAGGCTGTTTATACAAAAATAAAACAAACAATCTGAAGTGATTAAATAACTTACACTACCAGATAACATATTAGTTATGACATCAGTTTTAGCATTACCCAGAACTCACTGGAATAGTCGGAGAGGGATGTCTGGCTCATCCTTCCTGGGTATTTTGTCCTTTAGACCCGATGGAACATTAAGCTTTGTATCAATGATTCCACCCCACGTCATTCACAAAGCATTCCTCCTGAACGCAGCGTACACGGCATTGATTCGTTATTCTCATTCCGCCAGCGAACAGGACTCATGGGTCCATCTAGTCGACATACTGGTCCGGGTCCAGTGCCCCGGGCGAGCCAGAATGCAGTCCGCCCTGTGCTGGAGGTGGGAGCGTGACACTGTGGAGTCTTCAGACATTTGTGTGAACAGTACCTCTGCAGCAATTTGACCTTTTTTTTCAAAAAGAAATTCACATCTCAAGACCCAGCTTGGACAAAAATCTTGCTTTTGTTTTTGTTTTTAATGCCAAATTGTTTTGTACATCCAAAAACCTAAGTTATTTCGATTAAACTGCTGTATAAAAAGACGAGGGTGTGGGTAAAATGAAACCTATAATCAATGTGTTTTTTGCTCTGTTGACGGCCTTTAACCCTGGAGGAAATGCCAGGGGAAAACACAAAGGCTTCATATGTGAGAGGAACTTTGCTAAGTCGGTTTGTTTTCTGATTAGAGGCTTGGCGGAAATGTAAATAGTTGGAAGTGAATCTGAAAGCAGTTTTGTGCGTGTTGTTCTGTCTGAGGCTTCAGCCGACCTGACAAGGACGAGTGAAGAGACGAAAGAAGTACTTGCTTGAGTAGCACCGGAAATAAAGACTGTAAATGGTTCCAAGTGCCTAAATATTATCTCCTTTTAATTAGTTGCTATGTAAGATTTATGTGTTAGCCTTTTGTTTCAGGGTTTTGTTTGTTTTTTGCCTTTGAGTTTTTCCATTAAAACACATCAAGAGCTGGAAGATGAGAGTGTTTTGGTCTTTCTTTTCATCCACCCTCACTCCAACTGAACCAAAAATAAATGAACTTGTAATAATCTGTAAAAGTGATTTTATTGCACCAACGCAATATTTCACAAAAAATGTTTTGAAAAAATCCAACACAATGTGAGCGTATTTGTAAACTGAGTGGGGGGGAAAGTCAAAAGTACATTGTGTCCAGACATCTCTTCCCTTTGAGACAGCACCCACTCTTATGTAATATATATATTTCATACAGATGGTTAAAATTGCCTCACTAACAGGGTTACCATGCGTAAAGAACAACAAGGCCCACAGCATCACAGCTTACTTCAATCCATTTTTATTTATTATCTGATTCATATTGTAGACTTTGGTCTGTATCGCAGCAAATATGCGAAAAACCTCTGACTGAAGACATGGTCTGTTGTATAACGGTGATGACGGAGGTGATGTGCAGAGCTGTCAGTACTTTAATAAATCCATTTGAGGGTTTAGTTAAAGCACATGGTGCTAATTAACTCCAAAAGTTTACCTTTGTGAATGCAGAAAACAAAACCCCATACATTTGTTTATCATACTTTTTTGATGGATAATAAAGGACTTTTCCTTTCTCAGTCGACCAGTTTTCTCGTTGATTTAATGTGAACGTTTTGCTCCTGAAGCCTCACAGTAGCTTTCCAAAAAAGATGCAGAGAAGCGTCTGAATGTCGCTTCATTTTAGAAAAGCGGACTTCAGACTGATTGAGGAGCAATTTATGAATCTGACAAGACTTGCCTCTGTGGAGTAACTGTCAATCGGACCTGCAGCCGTAACATCCGGCGAACAGAACCAGCCCTGGAGAATCGCTCTGAAGCGAACATGTACTGACAACATGCAGCCACAAAGGAACAGACTCCTCCGGCATCATGGTTTCTTTTTGTATATATAAATATTGATTTGGGGTACTTACAGTATGAAAGGAGAAAACACCCAGGTTTTGTGAAATCTGGTTTAAAAAAATGTCCTAAAATGCAATTAGAAAACCTTCAGTCATTTTGTTCAGTTGCTATGCAAACACAAAAGAGCAATTATAAGTCTTTGCATATTAGTAACTAACCCTACGCTTTAACAAGACTGCTGTTAAATGCTCATAAAGCCAAAATAAAATTTGCACTTGGAGAGAGTTATTAATTTTCTCTGACAAGCACCAACGCTCTCTTTTGTTACATCTGCCAGTTTAAGTGCAGCCCTATAGCTCATTTATTGGAGACATTGTTAAGCATTTTAAAGGCGTGTGGTTTGTGCAACATTTAAACGGTCCTCAAGTAAGTTGTTTGACAAACAGTTTTATTTCGCTTGCACAAACAACTGCTTTCTCCACAGCTAAAAGGTTGCTGAGTCATGTGGCTCTCATTTTCAGACACTACCCAGTTCTTGTTGTTTTTTTTTTTCTTTATCTCACAAATGTTGGGTCGTAAAGTACAGATGTGTAGTCAAAGTCTTTTCCACAAACAATGTCTTGATTCATTTTCTTATGAATAATTTTAAGGAGGTCTTAAACTGCAACAGACGCAGATCAAAGTGTCGCTGTAGATCCGTCAGAAAACGATTGTATTTAAGTGAAAACGGCACGTTGGACAAAAGAACTGAAATTGAAATTGAAAAAAAAATGTGTAAATAAATAGAAATGCTGAAATTAAGTCTAAAGTTAAACAGAAGTCTGCAAAATTCACTTTTTATTTTTTTAGTCCACTGCTAATCTAGCCAGCAAACCTAAATGTCTTGTTAGCTAACTAAATATTAGGATCAAGAATGTTTAGTTTGGAAAGTAAATATTCAGTATGAAAATTACTGAATATTTGATTTGGAAATTAAATGTTTATTAAAAAAAAACAAAACAAACAATTACTGTAGAAGTAAAGTTCAACCAGTGGCGGTTTCTGATATGGGCAACTGCCCAGGGTTAGGGTAGGGTTAGGGTGAGAGTGAGGGGGCAGCATGAGCGCCAACCGTCCAGGAAAGGTTGTTCATCCAGGGCAGAAAACAGGCTAGGAGTTCAGCTAAGTTAGTGAATTTTTAGTTTGCAAACTAACTATTTTGTTTTTTAGTTTTCAAACTAAATATTTAGGTCAGACTTAAACATTTCATGGGAACTAAATATTTATTTTGGAAGTTAAAAACTTAGCTTCCTAACTAAATTGTTCATTTGGAATTAATGAATTAATTAATTAATTAATGGATATACGTTATTAATCCCAGAGAGAAATTCACATTCACAAGTATAAGAATAACATGAAGAAAATGTGACTTTGAAAAATGAACACCCTTTTGGATGTTTATCCAAAAGGGATAAACATATTTTGACAGCAAAATATTGCTGTCAATTTTTTACAGTGAAACTTTGCAAAAGGCACCCCATAGATTTGAACACAGATTCTGAGGCATTTTAAGTTAAAATTGAGTTGCAAAAAGTTCAACGCAACGTATCTGAATTTAGCCTCCATGATGGACGACATTAACAGTGACCAAGACTGTCTGCCTTGATAAAATAATATGTAACCCCCCCCAAACAAACAAACAAAAAATAAAACTAGTGGCCTTTACTTGATAGTTAATTGGGTGAAGAGAGAAGGGAAAGACACGGGGCAAAGGTTACCAGGCCAGAAGTCAAACCTGTAACAGCCTAAAGCCTCCATGTGTGGGTTGTGTTTAACCCCCCCTTTTATCTCAATTTTGATGTATATAGCATTTTCATAACAGAGGTTAGTATGGTTACTTGGTTGTGTTATAAAATGGAATTATGCGCCTGGAAAGTAATAATAATGACACTGCCCCTGTAAAGCAGTGGGAATAATGGAGATGTCGTAGCTACGTCATCCACTGCATGCTTAAATTTGCCTCCAGTCTGTTCCACAGCGTCCATTTTGTCCTGGCGTCGTGGGTGGGCCCCAGAGGGCCGAGCTCCTGCCATGGCAACCGTGGCTTGAAAGATCCGGGTTATCATTCTATCATTCTTTCCTCCCTTCAAGATTAATCGTTGTCTCATGACTGCAGAGAGAAAATGTTGTTCGACATGCGGTAGGTTCGCATGCCGGCTCGGACCGTCTCCTTCAGCGGTGACAGATACCGCCCCGGGGGAGGGACGATGACAGGAAGGGTCAGGACAGACTGGCAGTCGGGATCCGTCCCCCGGGTTGTGAAACCCTCCAGCCGAGGACGCGAGCCGCCGGGAGACTCTGTGAACGCGAAACAAGGTTCCACACGGACGGCCATGTCGTCTCAAACAAACATGGAGGCAACGGCCTCGAAAAGCGGAGGTCCGATGAGTGTTTGTCAGCGGAGGCGGTTGGGGAAAATCACAGGGAGGAGAGGAGGGCAAACCGACCGGTTTTTATACCAGAGATAGCGGCAGGAACTGCGCTTTCCCAGTTTTACTGATTCCCGTCCAAACTAGGCTCCGCGGGATCACCGCATGCACAAAAGCGTCCCGTGTCTAGATAAACTCGAAACAAATAAAATCGGTCCAGTCAACAATAATGGAATCAATTTCATACTAATTTCAGTCTTTACGGCGCGAGGACGGAGGAAGTGGTGCAGCAACTTTCCCCATAAAGCCGTTTTTACTGCAGTGAGTGGCGCGGCTCCTGCCATCATCATGCACTTAGCAGGCCATTCCCAGGAACTAAATGTAATGTCTATTCATGGCACTCGTGGATATTCGGAGCGGCCTCGCCACGGTGATGTTTACTTGCTGTCCTGAAATGCAAAAGCGGCGGACAATAAGGCAGTAAAAAGACAACAATGCTTCCAACTTCAGCTTCAGCCGCTTCAGAATAGTTGCTGGGGATTTTCCTGTGTCAGAATAGCAGAGGACGCTGCGAATGCAGTCACTGCACAACTAGCGAGGCCCGCCGGCCTGGAGCCCGACATGGGGCCCGGCATGGGGCCCGGCATGGGGCCCGGCATGGGGCCCGGCATGGAGCCCGGCATGGGGCCCGGCATGGGGCCCGGCATGGGGCCCGGGCTGGATGGATGGTTGGATGGATGGTTTAAATTGGTTAAAGCTGGAGATAAACAGATCAGTTTTATTTTTGTAACACAAAGTCTTCAAAGGAGCTGGTATTATCTACGGCTTTGTGAATGACTTTTATCTTGTCTTGAGGAAAATCTCAATTTTTCTGTTGTCACTTTTAGTCTCAGGATTCTGTGGGAATACGGGCTCTTGGTTATTTGAGTTTCTTTGCTTCCTTTGTAATTTAACATATTTATTTGTTTTAGAGTTGAGATGCAAAGGATAAATGTAGCATTTTCCGTTGAATACACTTTGTAATTGATCACAAAATATTAATTTCTTACATAAAAGCAGGTATTTCGGATGCACTTGTAAAGTATATCATGACAGAGGTATACTGTACAAGTCCGGAGTTTAAAGCTAAAGCAAAAATAACAAACTGCTATTATTATCTTAACTTCTTCATTTGTTAAACTTAAACTCAGTGAAAAACATACCAGACCTGAAAAACAAGGAAAGGTGTTTCCATAAAAACAGGTAACATACTAGCTGCTAATTAGCCTCAAGCGGTTCCACAACAAAAGCCAAAAGCTTTCCTGTGAGGATATGAGGTCACGGCATCGTTCTGCTCTGCGGTTAACGACGACAGGCTGACAGTAATAAAAACACATTTGTGTTTGAGAAAATGGAAACAACTCGTGACCCCGCAGAGATACAGCATGTGCTTCCATATGTGGCAGTTATCCAAAAAATAAAAAATGTTAATAGTTAATAGTTAAAAAGCAAAATCCGTCCAGATCTGTTTTTTCAAAGGCGACCATTTCACTGTCCGCTTGGTGAATGAGCGCGCTCATCGACGTGCAGGGCAGGGACGACTGCCGTCTCTGTTTTATGACAAAATAAGAGCTGGAGCGGAGACAGGCTGAGCTCTGAATGTTGTTGGGTGACTCTCCCAAATAATGAGCAGTATTTCTAGGAGACAGCAGCATCATTGTGTGAGCAGACTGT